TGAATTTCCACTGAAACCTGAAATGGCTGTGTTGTAACAGTGAGCAATAAAAAGGTTTATTGGAGCAGTTTTATACTTGCTGACTAATGAGACTCAGAAGCTTATGATGTTACTTTCATCTATATGTTTAAAAGGAAATAATGCATTTGCCATTCATTGCTACTTGACATTTATCTCGTCTACCCAGGTGGGTGCTGTGTGCTAATCACACAGAGCCTGTTAAAGGTTTCTTAGGCAGATATCTGAGAAGGAAACTGATTGAGACTGAAATAGAAAAGAACATACGCAATAATGAGCTCATCAAAATCATTGACTGGATCCCCAAAACATGGCATCATCTCAACAGCTTCCTAGAAACGCACAGCTCTTCAGATGTAACCATTGGTGAGTCCATTGGTGGAGTGGTTTGCAATAAGGATGCAGGCTGAGCATTTTAGGGATTTGTGAAGGATATACTATTTTTTTTAAAGTTACCATCTCTCAATGGGAAGTATAACATAAGTATGGGGAATTTGTCTAGTTGCCAGCAAGTTTGAAACAAAAATGGAAAGTTTAATGAGAATATGTGTTTCCTGGTATTTCTGCATTGCTTGCTTAAAGACTTTCAAGTAAATAATCACAATTTTAAGAGCTAAATTTTTAAAAAATTGCTTCAACAACAAACTTTCCTAAACTTACTTTTTTCGCCTGCCTTCACACCACAATATAATTACAACAATAAAAAACCCTTGGACCTGGGGTCTTTTAATGGAATAGCTATGTTAGCAAAGAAGTCATCCTTTTATATAGCTTTGCTGTAAAACCTGTAAGTGTTCATCAGGCCCTAAAACTGGATAAAGGGACACTAGTTCATTTTTAATAAGAGGAGATTGATAGCTCCTTTACTGTATTCCTGCATTAGTATTCTCTTCACTTGAGTTTGCTCCAATACTACATTTTTTAATTCTGTGAAAATTATTTTAAGTGTGTTCCCTAGTTCTACATTTTTTAATACACAACTTGACTTGTCAGGTCCCCGTCTCTTCCTCCCTTGCCCTATGGATGTGGATGGCTCCAGAGTGTGGTTCACAGACCTCTGGAACTATTCTCTGGTGCCATATCTTCTGGAAGCTGTGAGAGAAGGACTTCAGGTATGTTATTTGGTTCCTAGAAATTTTTTTAAATTAGTTTCATAGGCTTTCTCCAAACTACTTTTAACCAATGCATCCTGATATGAATGCTGTTGCATTTGCAAAAAGAAAATCTTGAGAAGAATTATAGAAGTCAGCCTCAAACTCCTTTTGACCTGCTCTTATTCTGATATATAATTTGGCTTTGTCTGCTCCAGCGCTAACATGCCTTGTATTTTCTGAAGAGGATTTTTCCCCTGTGACTAGAGGAAGGTGATTCTTTTTCCACTGTGTAGAGTTCACAACAATGCTAAATACAGCTCAGATTGTCTCCCTGAGTTAAGGCAGGATCAGCCTCCCCTTGTGTGGAACACTTAATAAGCCCTACACTGGTGCAAGAAAATAGCTTTGGTCTGTGTAATCCTCTCCCACCTGGAGACCCATATAGGTGCACAGGCTTGTAGAGAAAAGCTTGTGAACAAGGATATTTTCATAGAATCATAGAAAAACTGGAGTTGGAAGGGACCTTAAAAATCATCTAGTTCCAGCCTCCCTGCCATGGGCACCAGGTCAGGTTGCTCTGAGCCCCATCCAACCTGGCCTGGAACACTTTGAGGGATGGGACATCCATAACTTCTCTGGGCAACCTGTTCCTAATTTCTTCCTAACATCTCATCTTAATCCCTCCTCTCTTAGTTTAACACCATTCTCCCTTGTCCTGTCACTATCTTCCCATGTAAAACGTTGCTCTCCCTCTTCTTTGTAAGCCCTTTTAAGTACTGGAAGGTTGCAGTGAGGTCTCCCCTGAGAGGATAATTGTCCAGGTTATCCTGGAGGATAGGTTAGGATTTCAGACCATTCCATATCTTTGGAGCAAAACTAAATCTTGACATTAATCCTTTCTTCTTCTTTTGGTCATTTTTGTTGGGTTTTTCCCCCAGTCTTTATTTGGCTTTCTCCCTTTCCCTCTTTTTTTTCTGCACTGCAATTCTATGTCCTATAAAAATGCTTTGTGGAAAGGCATTTTTTTCACACATGGCACTGAAAGAAATTACTGCACAGTGCAGAGAGGATTGTTATGGAATAGTCAAAGAACAGTACAAGGAGCAGCTGTTTCTTTATCACCTTGTATTGACATAGTGACATAGTGATGCAATGGGTGTTTAGAATCTTGCCTATTGAATATCTCACACTTTCCTAAAACTGCTTATCTCTCTGGGAACTACAGAGTGTTTATGCCTTGTGCAAAAAACTGCTGAGTATCTGATAGAACATCCACAGTGAGATTAACAGCACTTGTTTAGACCAACTATAAAAATGCGGTGATATTCTTCACGCTCATATTTTTTCAAGTATTCAGGTTACCTGCATAAATGAAAACTTCAGTTCTGGAGCAGAAGGTGGCAGCATATGGAAGAAAATATGTTGTTTCATGAACTGTAGCAATTTCTAGGTGTTTTTGATGGCTTCCATAGAATGACATTATTAATAATAAACAGAAATCTTTTATATGCTATAATTATGTACTTCTGGAACCAGAAAAGGGTAGAAACTGCCTTTCTGGCCTGATTCTTTGCAAACTCACTTGTCAAACACAGAATTTACAAGCCTTGCTCCAGAGTCCAGAAAAGATGTAGTCACTGTTAATCTCAGATGAAGGGGACTGCTGCCTACAGCCTGGAGTTAGCTTGCTACCTCCCTGAGAAACATTTCCTCTTGGCTTATTTAGGTAGATACCTGTTGTAGCAGTCTAGCCTTAGTGTAGGGCAGAAGGAGTCTGAGTATCTCTGTGTATGATATAGGGAATTTGGCTGCCTAACCTGAAGCTCTGAATTCAGCAAGTGCCTGGGAGCAGGTGTTACAGTGATAAGCACAACTCATCATTCTGCCTTTGCACCGAAATCCTTCCCTGTTTAACTCCTTTTAGGAGTGCAGCCCATCTAAATTCTCCATGAGTGCATGCCCTGCCAATATTATGCTGCTCCTTGAATTGCATGAGACTATTGGAGGTGGGAGAAACTGCAGAAATCCCTGGTGAATGGCTGTCCATCCCAATGTGTCACTGTCACAGCTAAAGGAAATATTTAAAGCAGCAACCAAGGGGCTCTTGGTTAACGTGTTGCTTGTGAACAGCAGTGTAAATAAGGGTGCATTTTAGTGAGGAAGCTACCAGACCTCCTCAATTTACAATATTCTCATTCTTACTTCCTCTGTCCCCCTTCCAGATTTGTAAGCATTTGATGCTTCCTAGTAGGGGAAAATCTATCCATTGTGAAATTCTTCTCTTAACCTTGTGAAAGTTATCACACTTTATCAAGCTTTAGATAGGTCTGAGTTAATTTCACTGGTACACCTTAAGCAAATTACCTGAAAGTCTCATTTCACATTTTATCAAGAACTTGTGGCTCCCACTGCTGTCTACAAGTATCACTAGTTATGGAGTGCTTTTCAAATTTGTAGCCATTCTGTGTATTGAAGGAGCATTAGTGTTGATGTGGTCTTCTGAATGTCTTATTATTTCTGAGTGCTGAGCACATCTGAAAGCAAACCACCTACTGAAATTGTTTAGATGTTTTTGATGATTTTTTTTCAATGTTATAACTGGTATGGAAAACTCTGTAGAATACTTACTTGTCTTATATCCATAATATAGATGTATGGTAAGAGGGCACCCTGGGAGGATCCCTCTAAGTGGGTAGCTGATACCTATCCATGGAGCTCTGCATCTCTACAGCATGAGTGGCCATCACTACTTCAGTTAAGACCCGAAGATGTTGGTTATGAAGGTTATGCATCAGCAAAGGAAGGGACAACCTCTAAGCATGTTCCACAGACTGATACAGAGGGGGATCCCTTGGTAAGATTCAAACTTTCAGGAAAAGGCTTTTCATTATGTACTTTACTGTCACATGTTAAATTGTACACTGTACAGTAAAAGTCTACTGTGCACCTGTTCCAAAATTGGCTTTCAAAAATTTATCCTACTATAATTTATTAAAATGTTGAAAATGAAAGGAAAACCTAACATGAGGGCAGGTATTGCCATCATTTTTATATGTCCCTATATTGTTTGCATTTCCTATCTGCCCAGAAATGTATCTGGTCTTCATCATGATAATTTTTGTGTACCACCCTTCAGCAACTTATTAATCAGTTTTATTCTAAAAGCATCTTTCTATGTTGGGCATCCTTCATCTACATTCTACAAATGGAGGGCTGAGATATTCACATTATCTAACTTGTCTATCATAGAAAATTTAGTGGAAATGGAAATTAGACACCTCGCATTCCTTAGAATATTTCAAGATAACTTATGATTGTATAACAGTCTCAATGTAAAAGGAATGCAAGTGTGGTGGCATTAAATGATAAGAGGCTGATTTCCCTCAATGCCATGTGTTGTTTTATTTAAATACAATCCCAGTCATTTGGATTTACCATTGCCTTGTCCGATAATGGACTATTAAAATGCATATGTTGAACTGCCATTCTTGTATAGTGCTTTCTCTATGGGCTGCCTTTATCAAAATTCAAAATACCATTTTAGAGAACTGTATTTCTGGAATACAGGCAGCCCTTGGCAAAGGGAATTTCTCAGAAAAAAATGCATTTAACTCTTATCAGTGTTAAGAAAATGGCTCCTCAGTCTCACTGTTTAGTAATCAAAAACAAACCTTGCATCCTGAAGAATTGTAGAAAATCACCTAATTTGGACCTATCTCCCAAGTCCATAAGCTTTCCCATGATAGTTTGACCCTATGATTTGGGCTGCCAGTGAGTGTATTAGATGGGCTTCCAACACAGCATAGTCTCCACTAAAGTGAAAATACTTTAGTCAGACAGATCCCTGCACACTGTGATCTGTCTGACTAAATAAGGAGTCTTGAAAGTTGTGATTGGAGGATTTGCCCTTGCCTGTGGTGGAGCTCATGAGGACAGACACTGCACTTGTGGAAACAGGACATTTCACATGCAGGCTGTGTTGAACATGCACTGCATGTGTCCTGTATTCTCAAGCACGGATACCTATTAAACCTTCAGCAAAAGCCACCTGATAGAGTAAAACACTGTTCAATGCCTAGACAAAACTTTACAGTGCAGGTTGAAACCATAGAGATGAAAGTATTTCTGAGCAAACTGGAAATAGGGGCTTAACACATAAAGAGATAAGAATATCTCTTTCTCTTTGTTTTTTCATTGCCTGCTTTTTGTAATGACAGCATATTTGTTCCTTGAAAAACACTAAAGCAATGTCAACTTTGCTTGCAGCCCTGAGCATGCTGGCAGAAGCGAGTGGTTTATAAATCATTGCACAGAGTTTAGGCATCAAGCATCCAAGTAATTTTCTGGGGCTTAATGCTGCTATCTGATGATTTTTCAGATGGATTTGAGATTCAAATAATCCCCAAATTATGTGGGGGTTTTACTCTTCTGGGTAGGAGGATCTGTTGCTGCTCCCCTGCTGAGGTCAGCCCCTTGACAGCAGATGGAACTCTTTTATGAAGCAGCTGGCCTCAGTCCACCCCTCTCTCACTCCCTCCTCATCCTTCTCTTGCAGAGGGGGTATGTTAGTGTGATTATGTTTTCAGTTGCTTTTCCAGTGTAGTGTGTCTACACCATCCAAAAATTATCTGGAAGCCTGACTGTCTCCAAATATGGGCCCAGATGATATGGCTTCCTGCCCCTGTTAGTGTTGCAGCTGCAGCCTGTCTCACTCCTGAATTAAAGAGAGTTATCAGGCAGTTCCATCATATCCCTCTGGCTCTTTGGACCTTTAAACTTCTATTTAAAGACCAGAAGGGAATGAAAAGGGTGCCAGTAGGAGCTGCCGACACCCTGCCCTTTCTGAAATCTTTTGTATGGTCTGTCAGCTAGACACCAGCATACCTCATACAGCAAGTGAGCTTAATTAAATTTTAACATGGTCACTGCAGTATCAAATGAGATGAGATTATGTAAACAGTGTTTTCTTCTTTCAGATGAATATGCTAATGAGGCTTCAAGAGGCAGCCAACTATTCGAGTGCACAAAGCTGTGACAGTGATAGCACCAGCCACCATGACGACATTTTGGATTCATCCCTTGAATCAACTCTCTGAAAGGGACAAATCTTGGTGGAGGATTATGGTAAAATCTGTTTCCACTAGACCACTGCCAGTATTAAAGCAGCACGCTGAGGTCCCTGAGTGAGAATGGTGTGTTGTAGGTAGGCAGGAGACCTAACTCTGCAAAGTCAGGAAGAAAAATTGAAGTGGAAAGCTTGAATTAGTTTAATTTCAAGGCATTTCAATACCTATGGAGTCAAGCAAGACTCCATTTGTCAACTGGAAAGTGCCCTAGACCAAGGGCATGTAAGCAGATTGCACATGTGTTAGCCAAACTGGAATTTTTTTTTCCTTCTCCTCTTTCTGTCTCTCTGTCTCTGTTTCTCTGTACAAGTTTACAGTGAAACATCTTTGGGTTTTATTTCCTTTAGTTTACCCTGAGGCACTGCATGAACAATGCAGTCTTCTAAGTCTTTTCTAACTTCTGTTGTGCCACATGGTGCTGGTCACAGGACAGCAGTGGTGTTTGTGTTATACACTACTGCCTATTCCAAAACGAGTCAAAGATGATAGTATCTCAGAAAGCACAAACAGTATTGTGCAATCACCAGAAAACATGACTGTGATATGCTGGATAAGTGCCAATTTAATTCTAACTGCCATGGTCACGGTGATGCGCTCCATCAAGTTTTTAGTACACAAGTCACAGATTTTATAAAGTTGTTTTTATCACAAAGGTCTTTTTTAGCCACCTGCCCACTCCTTAACAACAGTTTTATACCAATTATTAACCAACACTGATTAAAGGCTTTTTAGGGCTTCATTTGTTTGAGCCTTTTCAGTGAAAGAAGGAACATTTCTTATGGTGCTGTCTCACTGCCTTAAAAAAACAGATTTCTAGAACAGTTTTACAGTTGGTTTAATTCCTAAACCATTGGTAATTTACACTGTTTTTTTCTTCATTTACTAATAAGAAAACATCAGTTAACATAGCAGCCTCATATCTGTATATCATGATTTTTTAAAGTAATGGATACGAGAAAGAACAGTTGCTATATAATATTTTTATCTTGTGAATAGTTTGCTCTGCCTACCCTCAGAAATACACAAGGAACCCAAACCCACTTCCACTGCCACTTAAATGCTGACAAAATTGGCTCAAATCCATTTGGTCCCACGGAATGGAATTTTTGGAGGATAAATGTTTTGAATACTTATCCAGCAGAGCTGGATGCACTTGATGCAGCATGAGCACAAATATATGGGGTTTTTTTTTTCCTTTTTCTAGTTTCAGCATGTTGTTTTGATTGCTATTGTTGTACATGAAGAATTCAGCATTAAAGAACACTGAAGCAGTGATGTCCACTGTGGAAGAGGAAGAGTTTATACTGTAAAAGTGGGTTGGTTTTGCACAGTCTACTGGGTGGGTATTGTAAATATTAAGAAAAAAAAAGAAAAGAAAAAAAGAAAAAAAAAGCCTTGCACAAATCAAATTGAAAACAAACAAACAAAAAAAAGTTGTATTTTATTCTGTTGGTGTTAAGAGATGTTTCACTTGCTGAGATTTCCTGTATGTTGCAAACAAATACAGAATGCAAACCTTAAAAGCTGTTATTACCTGGTGTGTTTGTCCTGTACTTAGAGTTGTTATGACTATGCAGGAGCTATCAATGCTACAGTCAGCACGTTTCAATATCTGTGCGAAGCCAATACATTTTGGGGGGGCGGGGGAAGTCTGAAAATGTTGTAAGTTTGTATGTCACAGCAGATTGCATTCAGACTGCTCAGAGGAATCAAAATGCTCTTTCACTACAAAAGGCATGTGATTATAATAGGTGCATATGAACAAGAAGGTACCTAAGGGCTTTGGCATTGTGTAGACATGTACTGTACACCTCCATGGGTGTAGACATGTACTGTATACCTCCATGGATGTTACCTTCAGAATGTGTATCTGGTGCTATTAACTCCTTGTGGCTGCCCTGTGGTCACTTGCTGTAACTCAAAGAAATCAATGCAGTTTCCAAATGGCACTAAGCTGCATCGCTGAATCTAGAGGTTCCTACACGGTGCTATTGCCCTAATACAAACCTGGATTTATGCATGTAGGATTCAGTCAGACCAACATCATGCCCCCCATATCTGGATCCATTTCTGATGCAAAATGTCAGTGCATACACCTTGACTGACTCAAAGAACAAAATCAAAGCTGCTCTTTCTTGTACCTGTGCTCTGAGCTAACCTGCAAATATTTTCCTGCCATATTTAGCTCACAAACACACAATACTACATATACGAAACTTCCTGCAATACATCTCAGTGAGTCCACCTAGTTTACAACTCAGAAATTGTTTGTGAAACATTTGTCTGTACACATTTTATATTTTGTACATTTTTGATGTAACATATCATGTAAATAGACAGAAACAGTGAAATAAATCATCTGAAAAGTTTTGTAGTCTTTGTAAAGCCCTAATAATAAGTATTTGGTGTCATCGGACTTAACTGGATGATGTATTTTCTATTGGTTTATTGTTCCTCTAGCTTGTAAACCAGCTTGCGTATATTTTTTTGCAGGTGTGCACACTGTATCTGTCTAAATTATTACTTTGCCATTAAAGTGGAATTATTTATTGAAAACACAGTCTGATGTTTTTGCAGTCAGGACCGCTTAACAGTTAGATATTATTTCAAATATAAGAACATAAAAACAAAATGACAAACTGAAGGATGTGATTTTTCTGTATTCCGCAGAACTAATCTCTGTAGAAACAAAATTAAGTACTGTTTCTAGTTCCAGTGATTCAGCATGATTTTTGAATGGCAATTTTGTTGGTGGGAACAGGTTGTTCTGTTCAGAAACAACTTTACATTCTCCCCATTCTCAAGATTATTTTAAAATACAAGTCTATTGATTTCAGTGTTGGTAAACCTGTCCTAAACTCGTGCAGTATTATGCCTTATTTTCAAACTCAAAGGACTTAGAGCTACTTCCTCAGCAGGTATACATCAATATTATTTGATAGAATTCAAAGAAAGAAGGTAGAATTTTGTTAGTCACCTAATCACAGACTTTGAGGTTGGAAGAGATCATTATGTTCCTGCAAGTTGCAGCACCTCAGCTGTAAGTCTCAGCAGCAAGTCTGTAATTTCTTCTGAAAGTGCAATGTCCCTGGAAAAACCTTTAGACATATCAGTATGGAGTAGAAGATCCAGCACCTCACTGACAATGTGGCTAAGCATTCACTGGGTGGTTTGGGATTTTTAAGGGCTTTATTTGCATTTAGATCTTAGATCACTACCTTTTCAAGAGAAAAATATCCCATACTGTCTTTTGTTATGCCTTTTCCTTTTATAACAAAAAGCTAATTACAATCAAAAACATCTTTTACATCTTTTGCAATAATCTTCCTTGCTTTTGTTTTTGATAAGACAGGCAGCTTGCTCATTCTTAGCTTTTCATGATAAAGCATGTCTTTCGGCCCCCAAAATGTTTTTTGCAGGACTTTCTGACTACTTTGTGATTTATCAGAGTCCATTCTGAAGTGTGGGTATGAGAGCTGCACATGGCATCCTGCAGTGGTTTTATATTTGCTATAAACAGAGCTAATATCACCTTTCTACTCCTACTTCATATTTTCCCTGCTTAGGCTTCAGGGCTGACATTCACTCTCTAATTGCATTATCCCACTGCAGGCTCATGTTCAGTTAATTATCTACCAAGACCCTGACTTCTTTTCATGTTGCATCATTTTGAAATACTTAGTCCATTACTATCTGTATAACCTATGCTCGTTGTTCCTTAGATGTACAGCTACAAATTTATCTGTACTGAAACAGGTTATTCAAATCAGCCCACCCTACCAAATGATTCATTCTCTACAATCATCATCTGTCTAATTAACAACCCCATCACCTTTGATGATTTCCAAAAACTGCTACCTGTCATTTTACTTTATCTTTCAGTTTGTAGTTAAATGTAGTAAGTTATGTTTTGTCAAGAGTAGACTCCTGTTGAATCCTGGTAGGACCCTCCATGAAGATTTCTGGTTTACAGCTACATTGCTTACAGCTACTCGTGACAAGGGTATATTTGTATTCCAGTTAACATGGGTATGAATATCAGAATGTCATACAAAACCATGTGTGTATAGTATTGTAGGAAATATATGATAAGTTACACGGCTTCTCCATAACTGTAGGTCTCCAAGGATGGATTAGATTAGCTTACATATGTAGAGATGATCCCACACAGAAAGAGCAATAGACTAGAGCAATCTCAGTGTGGCTTTCACAAAATTCAGTGCTACAGTCTTTCCACATTGTCCAGCTGCCATTACTTAAGGGAAAAGATATGAAATTTAATTGTCAAACTCATTCTGTGTCTACTGGTGAATGCCCAGGCTCCCATGACAGGAATGGGATAGTGCAGCCTCAGAAAGAAGAGTGTTCTTAGCAAAGTACTTGAGACTTTGCTCTTGCTTGCAAGAACTCATTTTTTATACTATCATTAATTAGCCACAGTGTTTCTCAGCATGTGCTTTTTCTTGATAACTGAATAATGTCACACAAATTAAATGCTACCACTAAGTTTGGCAATGCAAGAGCTCCAGATGCGCTATCATGGGAGAAATGTAATGCTGGTAATAATACTAGTAGCAGAAAATAGATTCTGTCATGAAAGATAAATTAACTAAGGCCCAGGCCATGTGACCTTGCCTTTCTACACTAAGCTGCATTTATTGTTCTTTGTTCAATTGCAACCTCAAACAAACACTGATAAATAGCAATGCATGAGCACACTGAATGAAGTAAGTCCTGCTTTTAGTAGCAAATTTCATAAATGAAATAATGTTTTTCCTTTGTCAGTGTATTTACTTGTTTTGCAAGCAGGTTTTATTAAATTAGATTACATAATTTAGGAAACTAAGATGCATCTTGACAATTAATTGTAAAGCTGAAAGAAAAGGCACCTGGTAACAAAATAAAGCATTTAGATGGTGACATATAACCAGCACTAATGATTTTATTGTGCCATAAATGGATGGCTCTGACAGAAGAAAGAAACAGACAAAATACATATTATCTGTATGACCAGTGCCCAAGGACTTAGTGAACTAAGTAATTTAAATTAGTGAACTGTACCTTAGCATTGATAATTCAGTACACTTTAAATATGTCCAGCTGCACTCTGCAAGTGCAATGAAAAGTCTGAAAACAGACTATTTAGTGCAGGTAAGCTGTTCCACTCAGGTAGGCTACATGCAATAAGGAGGTATGGCTTCTGTACAGCAGTCCCTGAGCTACTATACATAATTGGGTAGCAAAATGAAAAATTTATCTCCATCATTACCACACACTACTTAGAACTGCCATGATCTTTTGTTTACTGTCCCTACTTATATGGGTCAAGCTAGTGGCTCTGTATCAGTACTGACTCTTGATTGTGACTGGAGAAAGTCAAGCTGGAGGCAGAGTCTTGCATCTTGTCTGAACTAACAGTACAGTGCAAATTTATTTTTCATCTAGAGGAAATGAGGAACCTAAAAGCTATGTGAGAAAACTTTATTGTCTTATTAGGAATTGCTGTGATTAATTTAATTATTATTTAATGTCTTTCTGTTACTGCTTCTGTAGTGCCAATGTGTCTCAAGTACTTTATAAATGGTCTTCTTGTAAAAACAAATTATATTTCCAAGTATAAAATTTTACTGCTTGTTTGAGAGCTGGTTAATATCTTGCATCAAGCTACCAGGCTATTTAACAAACTACATCCACACACAGTAAATTTCATCTCTAGCAGAAGGGTCTCTGAGGTTAAATTACATGTTTAGTCTGACTATGTATTCCGAGTAAGTCATGTTCTTTAATTTCTGTCCTGAATATAGGGTTAAGCATATGAAGTGCTTTCCTAATTTTGACTTCAGTGCCTGCAATTTATTCCTCCATAAACCACTGTCTTCAGAGGATAAGATGGTCAACTAACTGCTGCAAGATTCAGCTGTACATTGTTCGTAGCAACTGTGCAGAGCATTACATTCAAGAATTACAATGTAATTGCATGCTTAGGCACAGCATTCACTAGTTTGCCATATTGCCAGCTGTAGTGTTCTCTGAAGTTGAATAAAACCTTCAGACCGTGTTGCTAACCAGGGTGGAGGGAGGCCTCCTCCTTTTCTGGTCTGGAGCAGCTGCTGGCAATAAAACCTAAGTGTCTATTTGTAGCTGCAGGTCAATTGAGAGGTTACTCCACTTACGGAAAGACAGACAAGCAATAGCATATGTTATAGGGTATGCTGGAAGAAATGGTTCATACTGAGAAATATCACTATCATCCAGCTGTTACCATCCCTTGCTGTATATCACCCAGGGAAGTTCTATAATTAATCATAATGCTATCTTACCAAGTGTCAAAGTAGCTGGGTTTTTCTGAACTATGC